ACTAGCTCCATTTGTTCTCAGAAAAGCTCCAAATAAATAAATCGGATAGAAGACAGGGTTAGTTTTTTTTTTTCTTCTCCTCTTCATGCTCTTTTCCTGCTGAAGAAGTGTCCTGGGGCCTGAACCACTATTATCAAGAAAATAAGTTGTTATCTGCATGATATTCTTTTATGTTTGTTCTTGTTCTTTGCTAATTCTGAACTTCTTGTATTTCATCTGTTTTGAACACAAGCTAGTAAAGTGAGAAAGCAAACCCAAGTTGCAGAGAGTATTTTAACAAAGCTTAGGTTCAGACATGATGAGTTGAAAACCCGGCAGGTCTCTAAAAGAGCTATAAAAATTGCTATATTTTATTGAAGATATGCTCGTTGTCAGTGAATCACAGAGGTGCTTAAAAATGGAAATACTGTTGTGTTTTTTTCTCTTGCTGAGTACAATTTGTTGTAATTTTTTGTTTTTCATGTCAAAGGATGGTAGTAGTTTCAATAAAACTTGCCTTGTGAAGGAGTGTTCAGGGGCAGGTCATTTGCCATGCAGGGGTGGGTTTCTGTCCTGTTCCTCCAGATGCTGCCCAGAGCTCCTCTACTCTTAAAATACACAATGAAGGACAGTAATGGGGAGGAGGAGGTAGTGGCAAGAGGCTTATTCTGTGGCCTGCAAGTTGGGCATTTGCTTGAGATGTACAAAACTTGCATTAAATTTTGAACTCAGTTTGCAGAAGCAAGCTGCTTGTTTCTTCTCCAGTGGGGACCTCTGCTGTCATTCACAAGACAAACGTAGGAGTTAATTGACTGTTGGCTTTGCTGCTGTTCTGCAACTCATCACAGCTTCCATTTTCATGTTTTGCAAAACTAAAATGAGATACAGACTAAAAAAATAACATCCGAAGTTAGATCTGGGTTTCAGTTCTAGTTTTATCATCACATGGCTGAACACAAGAACAATTTTAGAGATTATCAAGATCATAGAGCATGTGTAAGATTAATTAGCAACCTAAGAGAGTTTGTGGACAGAATTAGTTTTGCATGTGTAGCTGTAAGAGCCCATAGCTAAATCTTAATTTTAGTGGTTAATATTCTTCATTAGCTGTTACTTTTTCTTTCACTCAGGTTATTTCTGGTAAGTATGGAACTAATGTGTTGATAATTTTTACATTAATGAAAAAAAAAGTTTGTCTTAGAACCTACTGCAGAGCAAAAAATATTTGAAAATTTTGTGGTGTTTTTTAAGAATTGTTTTTTAATTTACTAAAAAGCAAATATTACTGGTAATATTTTGTTTTAATGCTCAATAAAAAGGGTAGCATTCATATGTCAGGTGTAGAAAGCCAGGATAAACATATGTAGTATGGTAACCTTAAGCATCCCTTATAGCAAAACAATATACCTGCTGAAAAACGGGATTTGAATGCATCAGTGATGAACATTTCTTGCAGCACTCTCTGAGAACTTGAATGTAGAAAATTATGAGGGTGAATAATGTCCTGTTCACAGCTAGATTTGTAACTGAAAAGCAAGATGTTTTTAGACGATGATAGAAAGACTCTGAACAGCACTAACTTTGCTGCAAAGGAAGGGAAGGAACAGGGTAATAACTAACATTAAAAGTCTTTGGGGGGCTATAAAGCAAGCTGTCCCAGTAGAAATTTTATGGGATAACATTGAACAGAACTTGGCTTTTCAGAGATTACTTGTCATACACACATCATCAGTATCTTTGAGAAAACTTTAAGTATTCATGCATCTCTGGAATTTTTTTAATACTTAGACTCCTGTATTAAAGTAGGAACTTCAGTTCTTAAGATTTATTTTCTACTGCTGCAGCACCTGCATGCTACTGTGGAAAAGCGTGTGATGTTGGAAAAGAAACTTATCTTTTTCTACTGATAACCTCATTTTTATTCAAGTGAAAACATCCTTTTCTGTACGCGTGCTTTAGTAACATAAATATAATTGTCTATACTTAATGAAACGTGGGGAAGTATTCATCCTCAAAGATACTAACTGAAGTTTTAGCCAAGCAGCAGGAAGGTGAAAATCAGTCTTCTGGTAAGCGGTCACTCAGTGAACGAATACAAAAGATGTATGTTTTCAGTCCAGTCCCCAGTGGGCAGGTATCTCCATACAGAATGACTTGGGGATTGGCACAGTTTGCAGAGATCACTACTCGCGTGGGCAATGAGAGTGGTCTGGGTTTCTCAAAAGGGCTGACGAGATGTTTGCTACAGAAGCACAGGATAGTGTCCGTGGCTGCCGGTGGAAGAGCAGGCTTCTATTTTCTAGCACTTTCACCCCAATTTGGGAAAGAATGCAAAACTCCATGATGTGAAATACTGAGTCCCCAAGGCCGCCTCCTGCAGCCATCGCTGTCTGAAGAGTCCTGTGGATTTCAGACCCTTTGTGTAAGTAAGGGTTGCAGGCACTGCTGCCTAATGACCTCTGAAATGGAATTTTTCTCCTTACGAAATGCCATACTGTATACTTATGATGTGTAAGAATTACTGGGCCGTTGCTGAAACAAGAAATTTGATATGCTTGCTAACACTTACTGCTGTCTTAGTTCCTCACTCTACAATATATTAAAGCACAAATACACTGCTAGATGTGTTCCATTACAGTGCATGGAAATACTCATAGTATCTTATTAGGCACATTAATATACAGTATACATTTATATGTTAAATAACTTTTTAGACTTAAGCTAATCATATTACGTGGGCAAAGAAGAAAAGTTGCTTTTTTTTTTTTTTTACTTAATGGTAGTAGTTGTCACTACAAAAAAAAAATTAGAAAGTATCATTTTGGGAACAGAAGAAGATCCTGATGATTTTCAACCTTAAAAGGCAAAAGAAGAAAAAAAAAATCCCCAAACCTAGCATTCATTTATAGAAATTGTTAAAATAAAGTAGTTTTTACTTTTCTGTCAAAATAAGCAGGGAAGGTTTTATTCTGTTGGATGAATCCCCCAAATATTTAAAGTTCAGTAACACGTATGACGCATCACCCATTCTTCTTGATGCTGCAGGTCTTTCTAGTAAATGTTTTTTTCTGCTTCCAGTTTCTGTGTGATCAAATATTTACTATGGTATTTTTTTAAGGTCAGTCCTATTTTGGTGTATTTATTAGTGACTTTGCAATAAGATGTGAGTGTGCACAAAGACTCTGCAGATGATGTGAAGGTGGGCGGTTTTGCTGAGCCTGCAAAGACTTCCAGCTCTTCCAGGGGTGCAGGAGAATGGGATGAGGTTATTACTGAGTAGCAGAAATGCAAAGGAGTAGAGCGGAGTTATGGGGGATGAGTTGGAAACTCCTCAATTAGCTTTGTTGGAAAAATAAGGAGAAACGGGTTCTTTGTCTGTGGTAAACTGTGGATGTGATTCAGCTGTGAATGATGATTTCAGGTGCAGTAGGCATGTTATTTGCAGTAGAGACAGGGAAGCATCAATGTTATTTTAATAGGCCTTGTTAAGATCTCATTTTGAGCATATGGACACCTGTGTTCACGTAGAGAAATGAAAAGAGGAGTGATGCAGATGAGAGTGAGTGGGGTGATGAAGGGAGCAGAGAGGACTTGAGCACATTTGTCCTAGCAAAATACAGGAAGGGGTCTGGTATCCATAAAAATGATTTCACAGGGAAATACGAGGGAGGGACAAAAATTATAAAAGCTAAAGCACAATATAAGTATAAATAATTTTCTACAAGTAGATTCCAAATACACTGGGGTGGAAATTTGACTAACTTTCTAATCACTTGGGGGATAGAGCTGTGGCATAAGCTTACAAGCACCTCTTTGGAGACAGGGAATCTGAACTAGTTTTTCATTCTCTATCTTCGGTTCATTAGCTGTCGAGGTAAAAGCAGCCCTAGTCCGTGACTGAAGTGTTTTAGGTGCTCGTTGCTATCTGTCACAGGTTGCAGGGAGGCTGAAACACTGATCCTTGTGATGCTTCATGCAGCATGTTTACACTGAATGGATCCCATGCCTCGAAGTGTCCGGAGTGGCCTGCGGGAGCCCCTCTTCATCAGCGAGTCCTTATTCTGCATTTCCCTCCCCATGCCCAAACCAGGAGTTTCTTCATGCGGGCGGAGGCGGGATGTTGAGTGGGGTGTAATGAAAAACCTCAGGTGCCTAGCTGGCGTGTCTCTCTCTCTTCACACTCACTGCTCGTTGAAATGATGTGCCTCAGTCCGACCAGCGTTGTTGAAGAGGAACGAGAGGATTTGCATCATCTGAGTATTTTCACCAAGCAGTTCTTCCATTCTTTCATACTTTGATGAGCCGTAATGTGCAGGATATTGATAAACATCTATTGTGTAGTAGAAGCGGTTGTTGGGAGTAATCCTTTAAAGTGTTGTGGGCTGGCAGGTTGTTAAAGAAAACTAGATTTATCTAGTCCAGTTCTGTGGTCATGTGCCTCTTTGGTTTGAAGATGGCTTCTATAAAGTGCCATTATTTTCTGTGGTTTACCTGAAAAAATGAGGTGGAAGGAAGTGAGGTAGTTTTCTAAATGCTGGTAGTTTTCTAAATTCTCTGAAAACCTGCTTTTTTCCATTGAATTACAAGTCTAGATATTAATTTGAATGTTACAGAGATGTAAAAGATAATACTATCTGCTCTCATAGTAACTACATATTTAGAAATTGTTATTTTCAAGCCTTATATTAGCAGGTTATTTTGCATTTTCAGCCACTTTTTATAATGGCATACGTGTCTTTCAGAGCATACTATTGAATACGTCTGAAAGATGCAAAATACATATATTAAACTGTCAGTTTTCCAATAAAATAATGGCATGCCTGAGGGTTGATATGAGTAATACATACTTCAGTTATATCTGAGTGTTTTATTTAATAATACTGTTTCATTTACCTTGTAGGTAGCTTGTATTTAAAAACTAAAAATCACAATAATGTACTAGTTTGGTGCATGAAACTGGAAAGAAAAAAACAAAATTAATGGTGTTCATGCATTTTCCTCTTTTTCTGCCTCTTTGTATCAGGAGCTGCTGAAATGGGTTGTGGATTGAACAAACTAGAGAAGCATGATGAAAAACGACCTGGTAATATCTATTCAACTTTGAAGAGGCCTCAGGTAGAAACCAAGATAGATGTTTGCTATGAATATCGATTTATGGACTTCACAACACTAAATGATAGTAAGTACACAATATTTTTCTTTATATTTTTTCTATTCAAGTTAACATGTTAATTGTGCTATAATGTTTTTGGAATAGTAGTTACATTTTTAAAATGCTCTTCGTTTCTTTAAGGAAATGCCTTCTCTTCAGTCATAATGCTTACATGCAGAGATCTTACTGAGAATTTTCTGTAAATTTTTAACCTTAGAGCTAATTGTAGGTTATCAGATTTTAGGTTCTTTTATGCCCCCCCCCCCCGCCTCTAATATGGATGTTTGTTTTCTTAATTTGCATTTCACCCAAGTTTCATATGGTAAAGTGATTCAGGTCTGCCAAGTTACATACTTCACTGCTCTTTTTTCTTCCTCCCCTTGTGCTCCCTCAGGAGTATTTTAAGAGGTTTAAGTTAGTGTTTTCAGTTTTGCTAACTTACCTTAAATAACTGTTATGTGGTTACAAGTACTTACAGGTGCACCCATGTGGGTGGAAACAGGATAGTGGGAGACGCTGAAGATCTGAAATATCAAAGGGGTGAAGGTCTAATCTCATGCAATTTTTACCTTGGTTTTTTTTTTCTGTCTGAAATAATCTTGCTTTAATTCACATGACAATCCACAGATACTCCGTTTCTTTCCTTCCTGATTGACATCAAGCATCTCTGCCAGTGTTGCTCACACCGTCGCTGTGCCCTCTTTCACTTCAAAATTAGCCTGTTCTATAAGCAATTACTCCTCACACCATTTGGAAATCTGAAGCTTGAGCAGAAGGCTGGGACCTGCTTCTTGCTATATATAAAACAACACAGTACCAAAATCTGTTATAGCTAGCTGGCAGGATGCCAGGTAGAGCCTCTATGCTTTTGCCCTGCAGTGTGCTGCTACTTCTCTTGTTTTGCAAGTCAGGTCAAAGGAAAAGCCAAAGCGGTACATCTCTCACCATGTGAGACAGAACTGCTGGTACGTCGCTTGATGTGACACCTCTAGTGCAGTTCAGTATGTTCAGCCCAGAGTGAGGTGAATTTGTTGTTTGTTTTGTTTTGTTCTAAACTTGCTGCAAGTGAATTTGAATTTGGAAAAAGATGGAGGTTTGGAATAGTTGGTTGGGCAGGAGTGCGCTTTTGTAGGTAATATGGGAGCTGAGAAATATTGCCTTTGCAGACTTTTCTTAGTGCCTATCTCCCACACTCGTGGATTCTTAGGTTTTTCGTTGCACTAATCGGGATGCACTGCAGTTATTGAGAGCACCAAACAAATAGGAGAAGAATTTTTTTCATGTTTGTGTATTGCAGTTGTTTCTACGTTTATGTATTTTTATTTCACAGTGAACTGTTTATGTCCTTTGGTAGTTTGACAACTTTTACTGAGATGTACTGCACATTGTGTCATTAGTGAAACTGAATTAATATTGAGGACAATTCTGTGGGCTTTTCTGGGATGCTCATCACTGTTCTGTCCGATCATCTCACAAGCTTTAACCTGTGCATTCTCCTGATACCTCATGAAGTTTCATCTTTGTCTCTGTATGGAGGAAGAATCAGTACATGCGACAGCAATGTGACTTGCCTGAGGCACAGAGGATGTCTGGCACAGTGCAAAAAAATAAACCCAGACTTTCCACGTCTGATTAAATGGATACTTGTATGTTTTCTTCTTACTCATCATAAATTGTTTCATTATGATTTTAGGAGGCGTGTTTTTAAAGAGACTGTAAGTAAAAGTACTTTTATAAAATTCTTTGGCTCGCCAAAGAGTGTAAGCTGTCCAGTTCCCACTGAGTTCTGCTTTGGCATGTTGCATCCCCATCGCTCCAGTCTCTGGAAGATGCCAGTGGATAGGCAGGTGAGGAGGCGATCGAGCTGTTGTTCCTGTTTATTTCCTTGCTATCACTCACGACTGTGTGCTTTCAGGGTTGGTAGGGCAGCAGCTTGTGGTTAGGCAGCTCCCTCCCTATTCATGTCATTCGCTGTGTGAAGGCTCACATTGCACTACGTAGTGTTACGATGTTCCAGGTTTTTCTCAATGGTGACAGCATCACTGGTTCATCTATATTTTTGCTCAGAAATAACCTCCGGAAATAACTGGAGTTAGTGATGAGTGTTTCACCTATGTCTGTGTGAATTCAGACGCTTCTAAAAATGAAGTGCTCACAGCTGCATAAAAAGAACATTTGGATTTTGAAGTCTGTCTTCTGTGAATCTACTTTAGCTTTTTCAGTGTGCGTATATATCCTGACATAGTTTTTTCCACTGTAGGTTTTCTCCTACATTAGGTTTTTAGAATAAGCCACGCTAAATTATGAGTGGCTGCAGAGTATTTTATTGTATCCTTATTCCAGGCCTTATTTATAACACTAGTGAGCCTGGCTCTGAAGACAGGTACTCCTTTTTCTCTGGTGCTTTTCTATGATGTTTACTGCTCTGATAACCATATCTCTCATAGGTGTGTAATCTTAATGGTGAGAAGGATGTGATTATCTGCATGTTGCAAGTGGGAGCTAATACAGATTACTGCCAGAAGTTTTCCATGTCCTTAGCGTTTTTTCCCATGTTCCAAAAGCAGCTCTTGTTGACTTTACATCTAAAGGTGGATGCTAGTCATATTTGCAGTTTGGAACTGCATGTATTCTCAAGTCTGATATCCAGATAATCAGAGATCACTTCTGTGGACGTAAGTTTTCTGTAGCTGTAAGTGGGGAGATATTGCCCCCCTCTCTTGCCTCCTGTCAGCTCTGTGAATAGATTTAATTCATGGATCTGGCAGAAAGCTATGTAGTCTTTTTGTTTGGCTATCCTCTGCCAGATCAGTGTCTTGTGGAAGAGTTTGAAGAATGTTGGAGCTGGTAGAAGTGGTGGGAGTATGCAGTCAGGAAAAGAATTAGGACCTTCTTTAAATCAGCTCACGCTTGTTACGAACTCATTCCCTTAGCATCACTTTGTTGAAAACCGGGATAAAATACTGTTCGGCTGGTCATTTTTCTGCTATGTTAGCCATAAACTTAACTTTGCTGTCTTTGGTTACTGTTTACCTTCTGACATACACAGCTGAAGGAATGTAAGGAAATACGCTCCTTTGTTATACATTTTTATTCATTTCTGAAGTTGAGCCTTGCTCTGCACTGATGCAGATGTCCAGTGGAAAACAGCATTTGATCACTTATTTAATTACTGTATATATAACGCATAGATGCAAAAGACAGAATTAAGGTTGCAAGCGTAGCCTTCATTCTGATGTTTCCCAATGTTACAGAATGGACATACTTGAAGGTAAAGTGTCTAGAGAAAGATTTCTCAAGCTTTCAAGGAAAGCAGGCTATGAAAAAACCCATCAGTTTCCATTGTATGCCACAACACATAATCTGCATGGTTCTTCAGAATTAAAATGGTTAGATTTGCCACTGTCCTTTACTTCTTGAGCAAGTGTGATAATTGATACTAGCAAAGGGTTATCATCTAGTGTAGTTTGGCACTTGAGAAATAAGGAGCACTTTGGTAAGGCATTTCAAAACCTCGAGGTAGGTATGCTCGTTTTGTTTTTCCTATTGTTTTTATAATGTAGCTTATGAGCCTTAACTTTCTTGTCTCTGCTAAGGTGGCCTCTTCCAAGAAATCACTGTCTGTCTTCAGTGTTGTCCCTTGATGACATCATCCTGTGCTCTATTCTTTAGTCATCTGTACTGTCCAGAGCTTGTGGACTGCTGCACTCCCTCAGATTTCACCTGAATTAAATCATTAAAATCATCACATATTTTTACTTGTCAGGCAGACATTAATAGGTTTGTAAATTGGATGGCCCATTGCTGGGTCAGCAAAATGCCAGAGGAGGTGCAGAGGAAGAGCAGGATCCCCCCTGTTGGCAGCACTGGGCTGTGTTAGGTTGCCCTGACTGCAACATGTAGCTTCATTCCCAATGTGCTCATCCAGCTCCTGAGCTCTAACCACCTTGCTGTCAGCTCATTGCTTCAGTTGTTACTGTACAGTCCAGTCCTGTGTCACCTCCACCTTCAGCCAGTTTCTTCTGACAGGTTTCTACCCTCATACATTTCTTCTGCTGCTCCCCCTGAGTCATTCTGTCTCGGAGTCCTGACACTGCCAGTGGTGGCATGCAACAGGGGAGGTAATGTCACGGAGATGGTGCACACTTTTCTAACAACTTACTCTCAGTAGCTGTTACCTGCAATTTGAATGTTCTTCTGGCTCGCTGCTGGCTAATCCTTGCTTCAAGAGTTGCTCAACTGGCTGCCTTCACACTGACCTTGGGCCACTAATAATGCTAGGTGGCAATGAGTGACTTTTATAACAATAAAAAATTTGAGGACAGTAAAAGACAGTAGCATTAGACTAATGTTGCAGCAAACCTTTTGCTACAAAGCCAGAAGAGAGAAATTACTGTCTGTGTGTAATAGACGCCTTTACTGGAAAAAAACGCAAAAAGATTATATCCCTCCCGAAGTAAAAAATTGTTTATTTTGCATCCTTCTGTATAAATAAAAGGGGATGAATAATGGTCGTCTTGTACCTCTCCTATCTCCAAGTTTAACTGGAAATAAGAGGTAAATGGTGAGCAAACCTGAGGAGGACATGTGCTGACAAATGGAATAGCCTTAATTTAAAGCAACCGTGTTTTCAACAATGACTCTGTGGGGCAAGCTCGTTTGTTTTGTTTTGGTATTTCATTTGAAAGAGAAATATTTCAATAGTCTGCATTTCTGCATTCCTTTCCTGCTTTTATCTGATCTACTTATTTTGAAAAACTTCACTTGCAATGACAGGTACAGAAACTGAGCTCTCTTTCTTCTTCATCCTTTATTTCTTTTTCCCCACCTCTTTTAAGTTACGATGACCTTTTGAGAGAAACCAGGAATCTGATAGTTATTTCTCTCTTCCTTTCTCCTCAGAATAGTGTAGAGTTTTTTGGTATTTTGGGGTTGCTTGGTTTCGGGGTTTTTTTCCTGACTTGATTGGATTTTTTTTTTTCTTTGCTTTACATTCCTATAGTAATTCATTGGCCTGATGAGTTACG